GGCGATACGCAGGGCTGGCACCATGTCCTTTACCCCCGCTCCTCAACGACGCCCACCAAAATCACCGCGGAGACGCGCACCATCTCCCCCGTCCTCATCACCGCGCCTACGTCAACCACCTCCCCCCCCTGGCAGCATGTCCTCTACCCCCCGCACCATCTAGCCCGTCTCCATCACCGTGCCTACGTCGACCACCTCCCCTCCCTTCGAGGGGGCTTCTGCAGTCTCCGAAGCCTGATAAGGATGTGTGTGTACAAAACACAACAAACTCTTACTGATATGTGATGGGTCCAGGCTCAAGGGCGTATGGCACTCTCAACTCTTTCCAGGACATGTCGGGGCCCTGCCTGCCAGTAGCTTTGCCGATATCTGTGTTGATAGGTAATAGATTAAGAGCGGTGAATCATAGAAACAGGAAGCGCTCAAACGTTTGTGTGAGTGTATCTAATTTAGCAGTGATTCCATGTCAGCCACAGCTTGTTACAAAAAACATGACTGATAGTGTGTTTAACAAACTTAAACTAGCTTTATTAAATGTCAGGTCTTTGGCAGGAAAAACATTTTTAATCAATGATTTAATCACTGAGCACAATCTCGATTTTATGTTTTTAACAGAAACTTGGATTGAACAAAATAACAGTGCAGCTGTTCTTATCGAATCAACCCCTCCCAACTTTAGTTTTATGAGTCAGGAAAGAATACATAAGAAAGGGGGTGGAGTTGCTATTCTGTTCAATGATTCCCTTCAATGCAGGAAGACATCGTATGGAAACTTTGATTCTTTTGAATATGTGGCCCTTCGGCTGAAATGCTCCTCTCGAGCTCTGTTCCTAAATATCTATAGACCACCCAAATACTGTGCAAGCTTTTTTGATGACTTTACTGAACTGCTGTCTATAGTGTGTATTGACTTTGACCGTCTAGTCATTGTTGGTGATTTTAACATCCATGTTGACAACCCCCAGGACAGAGGGGCTAAAGAACTGTTTTGTGTTCTTGATAGCTATGGACTGACTCAGCATGTGACGGAGCCCACGCACAATAAGGGGCACACTCTGGACTTAATTATCTCAAAGGGTCTGAATATCTCTAAGGTTGTGGTGACTGATGTTGCACTCTCTGACCATTCCTGTGTTTTCTTTGAGAGCTCTATTTCTGTTCACAAAAATGTTCAAAAAGAGGTAACCACAAAGCGATATTTAACTGAAAATACTAGGGAAATGTTTACTCAGAATTTCTCTTCCACACTTGCCCCTGCCAACATCTCAGTAAATGAGCTAGTAGATCATTTTAATTCAAAAATTAAAAATGTTATAGATGCCATTGCTCCAACTAAGGTAAAGGAAGTGTCTGGCAAGAAAATATCTCCATGGAGAAAGGCCATGACCGTGAAAACAGAAAAAAGAGAATGTCGAAAAGCTGAACGCAGGTGGCGAAAAACAAATCTCCAGGTTCACTTTGAAATCTTTAAAGAGAGACTTGGCCTTTATAATTTGGAATTGAAAAATGCACGACAATCGTTCTTCTCTGACATCATTACCAAAAACAAAAACAACGCACGTGCCTTGTTTGCTACCGTCGACAGACTAACTAACCCCCCAGTGTCAGTAGCCTCTGAATTTCTATCCACCAGGGCGTGCAATGATTTTGCCTCCTTTTTCACTGACAAAATTCAGAAAATCAGACAAGCAGTCAGTGCCTCTGCATCAGGAATAGCAAATGTGTTGTCCCTATCTCCACTTAACATCAATTCAGACATCATGACACAATTCCATCAGATTAATGATAAAAACCTAGAGGACATTATTCAACTTCTGAAATCCTCCTCTTGCTGCCTTGATATTATTCCAACAGGATTTTTCAAAGATGTTTTGCCTTGCATGGCCTCAGATCTACTTCATATAGTAAACAAATCTCTTCACTTAGGTATTTTTCCACAGGCCCTGAAAACTGCAGTCATTAAACCGCTCTTAAAAAAGAATAATCTAGATGCTTCAGTAATGAACAATTACAGGCCCATATCAAACCTGCCATTTCTAGGTAAAATCATTGAAAAAGTTGTTTTTCAACAGTTGAGTAATTTCTTGCATTTAAATAACTGTTTGGATGTGTTCCAGTCAGGCTTTCGTCCAAACCACAGCACTGAGACTGCTCTTGTAAAGGTCTTTAATGACATCCACTTAAACACAGACAGTGGCAGAACTTCAGTGTTAGTATTATTAGATCTCAGTGCTGCGTTTGACACTGTTGACCACAGCATATTACTAGACCGACTGGAGAACTGGGTGGGACTTTCGGAAACAGTTCTGAATTGGTTTGAATCCTACTTAAAGGACAGAAACAACTTTGTTTCTATAGGTAAATACACATCTGAGTTGACAAATATGACATGTGGGGTTCCTCAAGGCTCCATCTTGGGGCCTCTTCTCTTTAACATCTACATGCTACCACTGGCTCAGATAATGAAGAACAACAAAATAAGTTACCATAGCTATGCAGATGACACACAAATTTACGTAACAATTTCACCAGGAGACTATGCTCCAATTCAAACACTGAGTAAGTGCATTGAACAAATCAATGACTGGATGTGTCAGAACTTTCTCCAATTAAACAAAGATAAAACTGAGGTAATGGTTTTTGGAGCCAAGGCAGAACGTATAAAAGTTAGCGCTGAGCTTCAGTCTGCAATGTTCAAAACAACAGAGAGCCAGAAATCTAGGTGTAGTCATGGACTCTGACCTGAGTTTCAACAGTCACATTAAAACTGTTACTAAATCAGCCTACTATCACCTAAAGAATATATCTAGGATTAAAAGACTAATGTCACAGCAGGATTTGGAAAAACTTGTCCATGCTTTTATCTTCAGTAGACTCGACTACTGCAATGGTGTCTTCACAGGTCTCACTAAAAAATCTATTAGGAAGCTGCAGCTAATTCAGAACGCTGCTGCTCGAGTCCTCACTAACACTAAGAAAGTGGATCACATCACTCCAGTTCTGAAGTCTTTACACTGGCTTCCTGTGTGTCAAAGAATAGATTTCAAAATACTGCTGCTGGTTTATAAAGCACTGAATGGTTTAGGCCCAAAATACATTTCTGACCTCCTGCTAAATTATGAACCATCCAGATCTCTCAGGTCTTCAGGGACTGGTCAGCTTTCTGTCCCCAGAGTCAGAACTAAACATGGTAAAGCAGCGTTCAGTTATTATGCTCCAAATATCTGGAACAAACTCCCAGAAACCTGCAGGTCCGCTGCAACTCTTACTACTTTTAAATCCAGGCTGAAGACTTTTCTTTTTGTCGCTGCTTTTAATTGAACTATTCATATCTTAGACTGCACTGTAACTTTTATCCATGTACTTTTTTCTTTTAATGTTTATTTTATTAGCTTTTCTTTTTAATGACTGATTTTATGATAATCTCTTTCATTTTTTGTAAAGCACTTTGAATTGCCTTGTGTTGAAAAGTGCTATATAAATAAACTTGCCTTGCCTTGCCTTGCCTTAAGAGGGAAAAAAATCTTTCAATATAAAATTATTTGTACGATAAGCTTCTTAATAATTACATTGTTTACATAACAGTAGACTAAATACAACTCATATGATGTAATTTGGACCCTTATAAAATAGAAAAACGTATTTTCTATATTGCTCCAATACTTTAAATGTAGATTAAAGGGTTGTGAGGATAAAAAACAAGAACAGCAGTGCATCCAAAGACAATGGAAAGAAAACATGGAAATATACCAAGAATGTGTACACATCCTCAATTGCTAACCCATTATATTTAAAGATGTTCTCACCTCAAGTATTCTTAATATAAGACATTGCCCATTGTTATTTTCCCCGACTTGACAGGAAAGGGGAAAAAACACATTATTTCCCCCAAATCTTTATTCACGAAGCGGTATACAAGTTGTATTCAAGTATACAAACAACTTTGCACAAGCTTGAGAATGCAAAGTCCATTAAGTCCTTTCCGAGTTCAAATAAAAATATCCCCCGATTCTTGGTTCTTCATAATTTTGTATATCATACGGTTTGATTTCGATAACAAACCAATGAATGCAAGCGAAGAGTCTGAATATTTTCAATAGTTAATCTACATTGACCCACAATAATTATGTGTATAACAATGATTTCCCTTATTTAGAAGACAAAATATTTATCTTCACATCAAGGAAAGTCAATCAGACGGTAACAGGATGGTGAACATGTATCAGTATTCCAGCCTGACTTGGACCAGAGATGTCGTTTCATGGTCAGATCCATAATTTGAAAGAAACAATACACAGGTGTTAAGCACACCCTGTAGGATAAAAGGTTTTGCTTCTATCATTGTTGACATTTCACTTGAATAGTTAAGGATCTCACCTTTTAAGTCATTTTTAGTTGTATGAAGGCTACTTTTATAAATATAACATCTACATGTGTAGTTTGAACACTTATGACCTAGTGTTTGACCAAATATTTAGTAATGCTTGTTTACAAAACCAAAAAGAGACAAATGCTGAAGGTTCAATGTTTTGCAGAACTGCCCAAAGTTGTAAATGCTCCATTTCAGAGTTGGTGTATGTAATGAGTGAAGCCAGCGTACGTATTTTAGGAAAGGACATGATGGAACTTTACCTTTGACTGAAATACGTTTTCAAAAAAACAACCATTGTAAAGCTTGTTCACACAAGGAAAGCTAGTGTGAACACAAAATGTTCCAATTCAAAACCTAAGAAATGTTTGAGCAATGATGCCACCATGTGGACACAAAGCCACACTATGACAACACTTCAAATGCCAAACATTAATTACATTTATAAATGTAGGAATTTAAAGTGTGCACTTTAAGTTAATTTGTCAGCACAATTTTTCTGTTTAAATGAAATGTCATTTCTCAATATGGACTGTTCACTCATTCACAAACCAAATGAGACTTCTTGAAGAGCCTGGAATAAAAAGCCTCTTGGGTAGTTGAAGGTTAACAAAAGCACAAACTATAAAGCGTCTGTTCAAAACTTTTATTAGAACTGTTTAAGTATGGTAGCTTGGAGGAAGAAAAGGAGGCAGCATTGGTATGGGCAAGTGAACATGGGGATGACAAGGAGAATGGGGTGCTGGTGTGGGCGGGGGATCTGTTTTCACAGTGGTAGCTGGAGTGGTTGGATATTGGGGATAGGGAGGGGTCATAGGGTAAAGATGATAGTAAGGCATTGATGGTGGAAGCTGCGATGAGGGATTTTTAGCCTTTGGTTTAGTTGTAGTTGGTGTTGTCGCCGCAGTAGGTTTTGGCTTTGTAGCTCGATATTTGGGAGGATAAAGAGGATTAAAGGTAGGATACATCGGCATATATTGTGGAAACGGCATCTGAGCGTATTGAGGCATCTTAGGGTATTGACGCATCAGATGGTATTGAGGCATCAGAGCGTAGTGAGGCATCTGAGGCAGTGCAGGAATTTGAGTCGCCTTTGCAGTTGTAGGCAGTGTGGTCGTTGCCTCGGGCTTCTGAGGGTGTTGGGGCTTCTGAGGGTGTTGGGGCTTCTGAGGCATCTCAGGGTTTTGAGGGTGTTGGGGCATCTGAGGGTGTTGGGGCATCTGAGGGTGTGGGGGCATCTGAGGGTGTGGGGGCATCTGAGGCATCTGAGGGTGTGGGGGCATCTGGGGCATCTGAGGGTGTGGGGGCATCTGGGGCATCTGAGGGTGTGGGGGCATCTGGGGCATCTGAGGGTGTGGGGGCATCTGGGGCATCTGAGGGTGTGGGGGCATCTGGGGCATCTGAGGGTGTGGGGGCATCTGGGGCATCTGAGGGTGTGGGGGCATCTGGGGCATCTGAGGGTTTTGAGGCATTTGAGAGTATTGAGGGTTTTGAGGCATCTGGGGCATCTGAGGGTGTTGGGGCATCTGAGGGTGTTGGGGCATCTGAGGCATCTCAGGGTTTTGAGGCATCTGAGGCATCTCAGTGCTTTGAGGGTGTTGGGGCATCTCAGGGGTTTGAGGCATCTGGGGCATCTGAGGGTGTTGAGGGTGTTGGGGCTTATGAGGCATCTCAGGGTTTTGAGGGTGTTGGGGCTTCTGAGGCATCTGAGGGTGTGGGGGCATCTGAGGGTGTTGGGGCATCTGGGGCATCTGAGGGTGTTGGGGCATCTGGGGCATCTGAGGGTGTTGGGGCATCTGGGGCATCTGAGGGTGTTGGGGCATCTGGGGCATCTGAGGGTGTTGGGGCATTTGAGAGTATTGAGGGTGTTGAGGCATTTGAGAGTATTGAGGGTTTTGAGGCATCTGGGGCATCTCAGGGTTTTGAGGCATATGAGGGTGTGGGGGCATATGGGGCATCTGAGGGTGTGGGGGCATCTGAGGGTGTTGGGGCATCTGAGGGTTTTGAGGCATTTGAGAGTATTGAGGGTTTTGAGGCATCTGGGGCATCTGAGGGTGTTGGGGCATCTGAGTTATCTCAGGGTTTTGAGGCATCTCAGGGTTTTGAGGCATCTGAGGCATCTCAGGGTTTTGAGGGTGTTGGGGCATCTCAGGGGTTTGAGGCATCTGGGGCATCTGAGGGTGTTGAGGGTGTTGGGGCTTCTGAGGCATCTCAGGGTTTTGAGGGTGTTGGGGCATCTGAGGGTGTTGGGGCATCTGGGGCATCTGAGGGTGTTGAGGCATTTGAGAGTATTGAGGGTGTTGAGGCATTTGAGAGTAGTGAGGGTTTTGAGGCATCTGGGGCATCTCAGGGTTTTGGGGCTTCTGAGGCATCTCAGGGTTTTGAGGGTGTTGGGGCTTCTGAGGCATCTCAGGGTTTTGAGGGTGTTGGGGCTTCTGAGGCATCTCAGGGTTTTGAGGGTGTTGGGGCTTCTGAGGCATCTGAGGGTGTAGGGGCATCTGAGGGTGTTGGGGCATCTGGGGCATCTGAGGGTGTTGGGGCATCTGGGCCATCTGAGGGTGTTGGGGCATTTGAGAGTATTGAGGGTTTTGAGGCATCTGGGGCATCTCAGGGTTTTGAGGCATATGAGGCATCTGAGGGTGTTGGGGCATCTGAGGGTGTTGGGGCATCTGAGGGTGTGGGGGCATATGGGGCATCTGAGGGTGTGGGGGCATATGGGGCATCTGAGGGTGTTGGGGCATCTGAGGCATCTGAGGCATCTCAGGGTTTTGAGGCATTTGAGAGTATTGAGGGTTTTGAGGCATCTGGGGCATCTGAGGGTGTTGGGGCATCTGAGGGTGTTGGGGCATCTGAGTTATCTCAGGGTTTTGAGGCATCTCAGGGTTTTGAGGGTGTTGGGGCATCTCAGGGGTTTGAGTCATCTGGGGCATCTGAGGGTGTTGAGGGTGTTGGGGCTTCTGAGAAATCTCAGGGTTTTGAGGGTGTTGGGGATTCTGAGGCATCTCAGGGTTTTGAGGGTGTTGGGGCTTCTGAGGCATCTCAGGGTTTTGAGGGTGTTGGGGCATCTGAGGGTGTTGGGGCATCTGGGGCATCTGAGGGTGTTGGGGCATTTGAGAGTATTGAGGGTGTTGAGGCATTTGAGAGTATTGAGGGTTTTGAGGCATCTGGGGCATCTCAGGGTTTTGGGGCATATGAGGCATCTGAGGGTGTTGGGTCATCTGAGGGTGTTGGGTCATCTGAGGCATCTGAGGGTGTTGGGGCATCTGGGGCATCTGAGGGTGTTGGGGCATTTGAGGGTGTGGGGGCATATGGGGCATCTGAGGGTGTGGGGGCATATGGGGCATCTGAGGGTGTGGGGGCATATGGGGCATCTGAGGGTGTTGGGGCATCTGAGGGTGTTGGGGCATCTGAGGGTGTTGGGGCATCTGAGGGTGTTGGGGCATCTGAGGGTGTTGGGGCATCTGGGGCATCTGAGGCATCTCAGGCTTCTGAGGGTGTTGGGGCTTCTGAGGCATCTCAGGGTTTTGAGGGTGTTGGGGCTTCTGAGGCATCTCAGGGTTTTGAGGGTGTTGGGGCTTCTGAGGCATCTCAGGGTTTTGAGGGTGTTGGGGCTTCTGAGGCATCTCAGGGTTTTGAGGGTGTTGGGGCTTCTGAGGCATCTCAGGGTTTTGAGGGTGTTGGGGCTTCTGAGGCATCTCAGGGTGTTGGGGCTTCTGAGGCATCTCAGGGTTTTGAGGGTGTTGGGGCTTCTGAGGCATCTCAGGGTTTTGAGGGTGTTGGGGCTTCTGAGGCATCTCAGGGTTTTGAGGGTGTTGGGGCTTCTGAGGCATCTCAGGGTTTTGAGGGTGTTGGGGCATCTGAGGGTGTGGGGGCACCTGAGGGTGTGGGGGCATCTGGGGCATCTGAGGATGTGGGGGCATCTGGGGCATCTGAGGGTGTGGGGGCATCTGGGGCATCTGGGGCATCTGAGGGTGTTGGGGCATCTGGGGCATCTCAGGCATTTGAGAGTATTGAGGGTTTTGAGGCATCTGGGGCATCTGAGGGTGTTGGGGCATCTGAGGGTGTTGGGGCATCTCAGGCCTCTCAGGGTTTTGAGGGTGTTGGGGCATCTGAGGGTGTGGGGGCATCTGGGGCATCTGAGGGTGTGGGGGCATCTGGGGCATCTGAGGGTGTGGGGGCATCTGGGGCATCTGAGGGTGTTGAGGCATCTGGGGCATCTGAGGGTTTTGGGGCATCTGAGGGTTTTGAGGCATCTGAGGGTTTTGGGGCATCTGAGGGTTTTGGGGCATATGAGGCATCTGAGGGTGTGGGGGCATCTGAGGGTGTTGGGGCATCTGAGGGTGTTGGGGCATCTGAGGGTGTTGGGGCATCTGAGGGTGTTGGGGCATCTGAGGGTGTTGGGGCATCTGAGGGTGTTGGGGCATCTGAGGGTGTTGGGGCATCTGAGGGTGTTGGGGCATCTGAGGGTGTTGGGGCATCTGAGGGTGTTGGGGCATCTGAGGGTGTTGGGGAATCTGAGGGTGTTGGGGAATCTGAGGGTGTTGGGGAATCTGAGGGTGTTGGGGAATCTGAGGGTATTGAGGCATCTGAGGGTATTGAGGCATCTGAGGGTATTGAGGCATCTGAGGCATCTGGGGAATCTGAGGGTGTTGGGGCATCTGAGGGTATTGAGGGGTTTGAGGCATCTGGGGAATCTGAGGGTGTTGGGGCATCTGGGGAATCTGAGGGTGTTGACGCATCTCAGGCATCTCAGGGTTTTGGGGCATCTGAGGATGTTGGGGCATCTGAGGCATCTCAGGGTTTTGAGGCATCTCAGGGTTTTGCGGCATCTGAGGCATCTCAGGGTTTTGAGGGTGTTGGGGCATATGAGGCATCTCAGGGTGTGGGGGCATATGAGGCATCTGAGGGTGTGGGGGCATATGAGGCATCTGAGGGTGTGGGGGCATATGAGGCATCTGAGGGTATTGAGGGTTTTGAGGGTGTTGGAGCTTCTGAGGGTGTTGGGGCATCTGAGGGTGTTGGGGCATCTGAGGGTATTGAGAGTTTTGAGGCAGTTTGGGCATCTGAGGGTGTTGGGGCATCTCAGGGTTTTGGGGCATCTCAGGGTGTTGGGGCATCTGAGGCATCTCAGGGTGTTGGGGCATCTGAGGCATCTCAGGGTTTTGAGGATGTGGGGACATCTGAGAGTATTGAGGGTTTTGAGGCTGTTGGAGCTTTTGAGGGTGTTGGGGCATATGAGGCATCTCAGGGTTTGGGGGCATCTGAGGGTGTTGGGGCATCTGGGGCATCTGAGGCATCTCAGGGTTTTGAGGGTGTTGGGGCATCTGAGGGTGTTGGGGCATCTGAGGGTGTTGGGGCATCTGAGGATGTGGGGGCATCTGGGGCATCTGAGGGTTTTGAGGCATTTGAGAGTATTGAGGGTTTTGAGGCATCTGGGGCATCTGAGGGTGTGGGGGCTTCTGAGGGTGTGGGGGCTTCTGAGGGTGTGGGGGCTTCTGAGGGTGTGGGGGCTTCTGAGGGTGTGGGGGCTTCTGAGGGTGTGGGGGCTTCTGAGGGTGTTGGGGCTTCTGAGGGTGTTGGGGCTTCTGAGGGTGTTGGGGCTTCTGAGGGTGTTGGGGCTTCTGAGGGTGTTGGGGCTTCTGAGGGTGTTGGGGCTTCTGAGGGTGTTGGGGCTTCTGAGGGTGTTGGGGCTTCTGAGGGTGTTGGGGCTTCTGAGGGTGTTGGGGCATCTGAGGGGTTTGAGGCATCTGAGCTACAGGGGAATTGGGGGAAGTTGTTTTGGAAGCAGGAGGTGAGGCAGGAGGTGAGGCAGGAGGTGAGGCAGGAGGTGAGGCAGGAGGTGAGGCAGGAGGTGAGGCAGGAGGTGCGGCAGGAGGTGCGGCAGGAGGTGAGGCAGGAGGTGAGGCAGGAGGTGAGGCAGGAGGTGAGGCAGGAGGTGAGGCAGGAGGTGAGGCAGGAGGTGAGGCAGGTTTGGAACACCAGAGAGATACTGGAATTCCTTGCCAACGCATCGGGAGTACATAACTTCCACCCTTTGGGAGAAAAACATACAATTAGAAACAGCAAGGAATCACACAAACCTGTCAATGTTACAATCCGACTGTACAAGGCAAAAGTTTAATCTCATGCTATATCTTCTGAATAGATCATCATGATGCAACATATTTGAATGTCGGTCCCCATCCAAAAAACATAGTTAATCAGTACATTTGAAAGCAAGCGAAAAACAATTCGCATTTGAAAAGCCGAAAACACATTTTTGCTTGAGATCAATATAATGCAGATTAAACATTTAATTTATTTGGCTCTCGTTAAACTATAACAATTCACAGCACTAGCCATCGTTTTTTTAAACTCACTTCCTCACTCTTTAAATCAGTTTCACATTACCTCTTGAACCATGTTGCAGCCATCATAGGGAACCAACATGACAAGTGCATATGAGTTCCTCTGCATGCTGTAGCCACAGGTAGACGGGACCTGGGACAGAGGCATTGGAGGTGCATTTCCTGTGGGGTAAAAAGGTTCAGTGTGTATATCATTGGTAGAGATAAATCAAGTCTACATTTAGGATATTATGGCTATTGATTTACCTTGTTCTACTGCAAATTGTGATGCTCCTGATCCCACTGCTCTGAACTTCAACTTGCCCGAACCACACTGCAGTGAGGGCGACATGCTCATCCATGATGAGTCTTTGGGACTGGCGACTTGTGTTGGGCTCATCCAGCCTGAAGGCGAATATAATATACATATATATTTTTAAATAGTTTGCACTTTAAAGAGATGCAAAACAATTCAAGCAAAATAACAAACCCTTCGATACGTAATCAAAATATTTTTACCTGCAGCGTCTGCTTGATAATCACCTTCATCCTCCTCATAAGCGTTTGAGGATGATTTATTGGTCCCGTCTGTGACTTGAGAATCAAGTCCTGACCCTTTTTCAAAAGCTCTCCCGAAAACAATTGTCCCCTCTCGGAACCCATTTGTTGCATCGGCATCTTTTCTCCCTTCTCGTCTTTCTGTTTTCTTCAGACGATAACAGTCTAAAGTTTGCGCAAAATAACACGTCAGAATAACAGCTGCAGCCAGGTAAACACCAGCGCCTTTTCTCTTGCGTATCATCCTGTTGCACATGACTGCTTGTAATGTGAGGAGATGAGATAACTTTCTTTGCCGCAACTATTTGAACATCAGCAGGTGCTGTGACAACCAATACAGCTGTGATAGGTGCTCATAGGCTTCCCATTCTGTAAAATCAAACTCACTGCGGGTGGAGAGCACTTGGCAATGAAGCATGAGACAGGGCTTTAATACTGACACATATTACCACCAGGCAGCCAATCAACAAGGCAGGTGCAGCCTCAGCTAATGCTTGCACCTGTGTTCAATTAGCTTGCAACAGGTGGGCCTCGTTAAGACTTGTCTAACGTCTACAAAATAAGCCCTGTATATTGATCATGTAGATCGGGGGTGCCCAATACGTCGATCGCAAAGGTAGTGTGGGTAGATTGCATGACATTGAAGCGTAAATGCGGCACACCTTTATGCGCTTAAGAGGAGCTATTGGTGTAAGCGCTCCACAGTTTCTCCGCCGCTGTGAGGTTCCGCGCTCACAGTTCACTAGCACCGTTGGTTTCAAAGGCATACCAACTATTACAAATCCAATCCAACCCACTTTATTTGTATAGCACATGTGAAAAACAGAGGGTTTACCAAAGTGCTTCACAACAAACATAACATTATAATAAAATATAATAATAGATGAAAGGCACACATAAGAATTAATACACAGTACATAAAGGCTATGGACATACAATAAAAGCATAAAAATCGATAAAACATAGCTCAGACTGACTCGAAAGCGAGGGAAAAGGGGTGGGTCTTTAGGCGAGACTTAAAAGTTTGGAGGGTGGGCGACAATTTGAAATGGGGGGCAGGTCGTTCCAGAGCCTGGGGGCTACCGCTGAGAAGGCTCGATATACAAACTGTTCAACCTACAGAGATGACAAAAAGTGTTCTTCCAAATACAAAAAAGCCTCTGTATACGCTGTCTCGCAAACACCTTGGTTGGTTTTAGGGACTACCAGCAGCAGCTGAAGCAAAATGAAGTCACAAGAATGATAGAGACATAACAATACAGTATTTATTTGGGCATGGCTAATATAATTGTTGATGGCCAAATAGGGGAAAAACCGAGAAATTAATTATTTCCCCCAAATCTTTATTCACGAAGCGGTATACAAGTTGTATTCAAAAGTATACAAACAACTTTGCACAAGCTTGAGAATGCAAAGCCCATTAACTCCTTTCAGAGTTCAAATAAAAATATCCCCCGATTCTTGGTTCTTCATAATTTTGTGTAATGTATCATACGGTTTGATTTCGATAACAAACCAATGAATGCAAGGGAAGAGTCTGACTATTTTGATTTGTTAATTTACATTGACCACAATAATTAGATGTATAACAATGCTTTCCCTTATTTAGATGACAAAATATTTATCTTCAGGCCCGGTTCCAGAACAAAATGACTCAGGGTTTATCTGAGATTAGAGAGGGTGCAGTGGTAAAGTGCAATTTTTATAAGTGGGGAGTGGACCTAACACCCTCTAGGGGGGTTCTCACCTCCTCTAGGGGGGTCCGGGGTATGCTCCCCCGGGAAGATTTTTTTTTAAATATTGAAGTTAAAAGCATCAATCTGGTGCACTTTGAGAGCAAAATGAAGAGATCTATGGATCATGCCTTCCTAGTCCCTTATCACGTAGCCTATAAGAGCATGGCGCCAGTTGTTGTAGCCAGTTGTGGTGAAGGCATCTGACTTACTTGAACCGAAATGTCTACATGCATAGCAGAAGATGGCATCTTTTTCACATGAATATTCCAGCCAATCTCTGTTTTGAAACCATGAGCTGCTAAATTAGCGCCTTACCCCACTGTACAGGCGAGTTGGATACTTTTTTAAATATACCTGGGCAGGCTCTGTTTTGCCAAGGTCCTCTGGCACTTGCGGGCCGCTGAGGGGTGGCGGTGTTTGGGGCAACGAAGACGACTGCGGCTGCCCCGCCTCCGCCTCCGTGAGCGAGGCGGGCAAAGCCGGCGAGTCGGGCGGGAGGACGTTAGTGTCCACGACAGTGGCCGCGGGTAACGTAATGTCCCCATGATCTGAACTGTTATTACCTGCAGTAGATGCAGTGTTACTGCTGGCGATAAGGGCTGGTTGTTTTAACCATTTTCTGATGTCCATCATTGACTGCTGTGTAAGCACCTTGCAGATGATGAACGCGCAGCGGCACAGGTCACGCGCACCTGACATAATAACGTTACTTACCGTTTAAATTGACCAAATGAATGCAGCAGACAATGTTATTTAACCACAATTACAATTTATTTTATTTCAACTATATTCTTCTTCTTCTTCTTCTTCTTATTATTATTATTACTACTATTATTATTATTGTTACTATATATGTAATGTTTTTCACTTTTAATTTAAAAAAAAATGTTACTTTTCATTTTTCAAATGAGGGTGCATAACGACTCAACTGACGCACCCTTATGCACCCCCGTAGAACCGGGCCTGCAAGCAATTCAAATGTGTGTCATTATTGCCATCAACAGGGTCATTGGAAAAAAGAATGTCCTTTGCTAGAGGGGAAAATCAACAATTTTCATGTGAAGTCAGTTGGTTTGGCTACAACTATTCATAATCCCAAAGTTGGTGAAACAGAAGTCTTGGCTCCATTGCAAATGCAGGGTAAGCCAATTGATGTCTCAGAGGTTGAGTCGGGTTATGCTTCGTTTATGTCTGACGGTTTTGAGGGTTTGAAAAGCGTCTGCCGGGAGGAAGGGGCGGTGACCGGGGAGAGGACAGAGGCCAGCCCCCTGGGGAACAAACTCAAAAAAATATTTGATATCATAAAATAAATTAGAGTTTCAATATAGAAAAAGTTAAATATGTCTAAAGATATGAAGAGGTTTGTTGTTCTACTTGGTTAGTGTATAAAAACTCAATGCTGCATTGATTTAATTGATTGGAGTTTCTGGGTCACATAGGAAAGAATTGAAACTAGACTTTTCAATTAAAAAAAGGCTTATTTTTCAATAGAATATTCATATAAAATAGCATTAAAATAAAATAAAATATAAAGTCAAAAAAAGAGTTTCATAATAATATTAATAGAAAATAGAAGAAAACACTTTCATTTTCTTTGGTGTAATAGTGCATAACATAAATATAGTATGAAGAAATCAAATCAAAATGAAAGCAAATAAATAATAAAATACATGATAAAAGAAACAAAAAAATAATATAAATAATAATAATAATTGAATAATTTCATTATTATAATAAATATGAATATTATGAGTACTTTTATAATAATAATATAATAATTATTAGTTTTATGTTTTATTATGTTTTTATTTGTATTATTATAACAATTATTTTTACTAAATGTTTGTATTTATTTATTCATTTTTAAAAACCATTTGGTGGTTTGTATATGACTACTTATAGATATATCTTATAGTTAAATCATTATTATGTTTTAAAATCATACTTTAACCAATTTACGAATGCAGCTACGAACTACTACGCCAAAGAACTCCAATACCCACAATGCCTTGCAGTGCACGGTTGTCAGCGGGGTGTGTTCTTGCAAAAGCGAGCCAATCACAGCAGCGGAAATGTTAATTCACACGAACTTTGACCTGCTTTTGTCTGCATTTCACATTCACAACAGTCATGCTGCCAGGAAGAGCTCAGCAGGCTTTTCTCTCAGCTCTCCACTGAAACCAGGAAAAGGCAACACGACATAGAACACTGAATCTATTTGATTATTTCTGCAGAAAGTAAGTGTTTGAGCCGCTTCAGGATGAAGAGAGCTGCGTGTTTCCTGATCTCTGTGTACGCAGCAGCTCCTGTCATCCTCTACCTGCTGCCCTGGATCCTGGGACATGTCATATTCTGTCACTTCTGTGAGTAATGCATGTTTACACACTTAACAGCACTACATCTGCATTTGCATGGATACAGTCACAGAAAATAGCTGTTTGCTAATGCAGGAAACCACATGCGTGATGCACAGTGTTGTGTGTCAAATAGGTTTAATGTGTTATTATATTTCTAATATATATTCAGAAACACACGGTGGTAATATATATATAGGCTATGTGTCCTCTGCAGGGGATATGACTTTGAGGCCTTTATTCCAGGACTCCCTTTTTAAAGAGAGGCTGAATATTAATGTGGAATGGGATACTCTTCCTGTTTAAATAAAGTTGTTTTTTTAAACACCATGCACGCAGTTTAAAAGAGTCCTCATGAACTGTGGAAATTGGATCCTAGCTTTTCAAATTAAATAAGATTTGAGGATGTTTTGTTTACTTATAGAAGTTTTAGATACAATAATAAACATTACAAGCATATTCTAAGCCTTGAAAAATACACAATTTTGACCGATTTTCTTCACCTTTTCAATTATTTTCAACACTTTTCAAAGGAGTTAGTTAGGCAGAAATATAATTCTCAAGAGGTTATTTATATTATATATTTTATTATTTATTTAGGGAGAAAATACAATAATTGTTTAAAATGAAATGAGCATAACAATGGTTATAATAGGGCCCCTTTTAAGATTTTATTTAGTTTAATTCTACATTTATGATAGTCAAAAGTGATGTCTTAAAACTGATTTGTAATAAATAAAAAATATTCACTTAAATTTGATATAAAACAGAGCAAAAAATATAAAATAAATCAATATTTTCTGACATTTTTCCATGAAAAATCACAACAAAATCAAAACAATTGTTGCGTATTTTTCCGTCAATCGACTACTTATTGCAGCTCTGTAATATGTTGGTATATATTAAAACACATGACACTGACCTTGCACGCTCTCTGCAGTGAAGTTTCCATTCTCGGTGGATCTGAGCCGCCCTGCAGACGTCCTGAACCACACCTGCAACTTCTACCTGAGCCCGGAGGAGGGGGTCTCCGTGGGGGTCTGGTACGTCCTCTGCTTTCTCCAGTCACCTGAACGCACCACGAGCCTTTTCACTTGGGATTTCCTCCTTTAACTGTACATAATAAAAAACGTCTTAACCTGGAGTGTCTTTGTGTCTCTCAGGCATACGCTTCCTGCCAGCCAATGGGAGGGGTCCGTGGGGAGGGGCCCTGAGTGGTACCGGGAGGCCCTGGGCGACGGCCGGCCTGTTATTATCTATCTCCATGGAAACTTAGGGACCAGGTGTGTGTGTGTGTGGGGGGTTAAATTGGTACTAATGGAGTCTGTGGGGAGGTTTGTTTATATTCATATTCTCATGTTGTTTCTGCAGAGCTATACATCACAGAGTGGAGCTGGTGAAGGTACGCTTCTGATTTTAAAGTACCTTTTACTCAAATACTTTGTTTAATAAGGTGTTTTTAGTGACATTTTTATTTAGAGAAAAATAATTACAATTTAAATGCATTTAAAAAAAATCTTCTATTAAACGAAACATATTTGTAAGGCAATTATATTAACATTTTTTTTAATGAATCACTGCTCCTTTTTTGAGAGATTTTTGTTTTATTACTACATTTCAATTTCTTCATTGCTTATTTTTAAAGTTAAGAATGCTTTTTTATCAAACAACTTAATCGCATTATGTATTCTAATATCAGCCCGGCAGGGACATTTTTCACAGGAAGTCGGTTTTGCGAGAGTGAAATCTTGTAAAAATTCCGTCAGATATTTCCCAAAAAACCCACTTCCAATTAATATTCTAAATTTCACTTGTTGTTTTATCCACCTTAAAGCGGACCTATCATGCAAAATGCACTTTTTGATGTCTTGTATACATAAATACGTGTCCCCGGTGTGTCGGGGAACTCACGCAGCGTCAGAAAATAAAACCCTCTCTCTTTTCCTCCGTACCCAAATCTTTTAAAAACGGGGCTACAACGAGCGGATACAGATTTGCTGCCGATATGACGTAATTTCGGATGGTGGACCCGTGGAGAGTTGCTATCAGAAACAATGCCTGACGTGTTTTGGACGTAATCTCGTCTTTGTTTACATTAGCAAGCCTCGCTAACACTCAGAGCTAACCTGTACTGGAGAGCACATGTGTTTTAAAAAGCAGGAAATAAAAAAAGGAACTCACCTTGTGATAAACCCGCAAGAGAAAAAGCATTTGAGCTCCATACTGCTTCAGAAATAATCCTTGATGTGGTTTAGAACAGGATGGCGTTTTATCACAGCAGAATTTAACTTTATCTCCGGTAGAATTCTGATCAGGCATTAGCTCCGCCTCCTCTTTTTTTTTTAACCTAAGCACCCAAAATCCGCGTTTCTCTAATAGGGCTGGAATAGAGGGGTATGAGGGATTTCTAAAATGCATGATCTGTTTGTATTTTGAGCAAAACACATCATAGACATGTTTTTATATATTTTGAGACCCATAATATATGCCTAAAAATAGCATGATAGGTGCACTTTAAGATAAACGTAATATTGTTGTGTGTTTCAGATTTTAAGTGCTGCAGGTTACCACGTCTTATCTTTAGACTACAGAGGTGAGATGCTTAATGTTGTACCTCATATGATAATTGTTCTGTTAAATACAGGTCTAATTCTTATTTTATATCAACCCTTATGTCATTTTTGGGTTCCCACAGCCCTGTTTAAACATAAAAAATACATCCTTCACATCGTTTTATAAGATAAGACCTTAATTGATCATACAGGGGTTCTCTTCTGTAATCGATGTCTTGATATAATCCTGATTTAAAATGTTTTTATCTCCTTTTTTTCAGGCTTTGGAGACTCCACTGGAGAGCCCAGTGAGGAAGGGTTAACCAGGGACGCCCTCTGCCTGCACGACTGGGTACTGCAGCACAGCAGGGGGGCTGCAGTGGCTCTGTGGGGACACTCTCTGGGATCAGGGTCAGATTATACACTTTAACATCAACTCTGCAGCAAAACAACTACTACTGAGAGGATAAGACACGTCTAACACCTACTCTGCTTCTGTTTCTAGAGTCGCAACCAATACTGCAGTGAAATTACAAGATCAAGGTGGGTTAGAGTCTTGCATTATAATAAATAACTCAATTCTCAAGAGTTAAAATGTAAATGTAATACTCCATGCATCCATATTTTTAATTGTTTTGCTGTCTTTATTTCAGGCTCTGCTGTTGACGCTGTGATTCTGGAAGCTGCGTTCACAACAATCGGAGAAGTGGTCGCCATTCATCCCGTCACGAAGGTCTGTCTGCACACTAGTATTTGTATTCGTACAGAAATTGATCAATATTTGTAACAGTTTTTTTGTATATGTTTCCTTCCAGATGTACATGTTCCTGCCAGGATTTGAGAGCTTGATTTGGAGCATTTTGCACATGAACAACATTGTGTTTGCTAGTGATAAAAAGTAAGTGCAGTAATAAATACATTACAATTATATTTATTGTTTTTATTTCAATACAAAAAATTAGAGGAAATTAAAATAATTTTGAAAAAAGAAGAATACAACTTTTCTGAAATAGTTTTGTTAATTTATGCATATGTATACTTTTTTTGAAGATAACATATATACATTAATTTATTTTTGGATATAAATTAATTGTATATCAAATAATTTATTGTATATTATTTTCTTTATAATGCCATCTATTAATTTTTTTGAATTAATTGTATCGTTTTCTATTTCTTTAACCGTCCAGTTATCAACCGACTTGCTTTAATTGTTTATTATTTTATATATTTCTCTTGTCGCTTTTTTAAAATATATATATATTATTTTTTATTCTGGCACTTCTATGACTACATAAATTCTTGCTTATGCCACCTTTTATTAAATCCAAAAGAAGTTTCGGAAAAACAATGATAAATTGCACCAAATACATATTTAGCTAATAAATCTTCCCTAAATGAATGTTTCCCCCCTCATGTCCCCAGTTTGCAGACGGTGAGCAGTCCTCTCCTCATCCTGCATTCAGAGGACGATCACATTGTTCCCTATCAAATGGGGCTGAAGGTACACTCTTTATTTATGCCGTTGCATCATTTCCTCGTGCATATTTTGCTGCTTTCTTGTTAAATAACTTTGTTTCCTCTGTGTCTGCAGCTGTACGAGATATCCCTGCAGGCTCAGAAACAGTATAAAACAGATGTCCAGGTGGAGATGATTTCCTACAGCGCAGATCTGGGGTACTCCCACAACAACATCTACTTAGACCCAAATCTGACCAACAGGCTCGGGTAAGTTTCATTAAAGGGGACCTATCATGCAAAATGCACTTCTTGATGTCTTGTATACATAAACATGTGTCTCCGGTGTGTCAGGGAACTCACGCAGCGTCAGAAAATAAAACCCTCTCTCTTTTCCTCCGTACCCAAATCTCTAAAAACGGGGCTACAACGGAGCTGATCCAGATTTGCGTCCGATATGACGTAATATCTGAAATGTGGACCCACGGCCCAATCAGAAACGCTGCTATCAGAAACAATGCCCGACTGTTTTGGATGTAATATGGTCGGTGTTTACATTAGCATCGCTAACACTCAGAGCTAACCTGTACTGGAGAGCATGTGTGTGAAGAAGCAGGAAGTAAAAAGGAACTCACCTTGTGGTATAACCGGCAAGAGAGAAAGCCTTTGAGCTCCATACTGTTTCAGAGAGAATCCTTGATAATCCATGATATGGCGTTTCATCACGGCAGTATCTGCCGGTAGAATCTCTCGCATGAGCAGGCCCCTTCTTTTTTTAATCAATTTTCTTTCTTTTTTTTAAAAAGCTTTATACCCAAAATCAGCACTTTTGAAATAGAGGGATATGAGGCATGGCTAGAATGGGTGATCTGTTTGGTATTTTGAGAAAAATGTTGACATGACATGTTTTTTATATATCTGAGACCTATTGCCTACAAATAGCATGATTGGTGTACTTTAAAGCTGATGTAAATGTGTGCAAAAAACTCGGATTATACTGATAACTTTTCGAACAAATAATTCTTCACTCACTAGAAAAATACATCGTATGTTCATATTATTTTGTGCCTCTACTATGACACCTATAATTCTGACATTCTTCCTCTCACAATTTATTTTCTCAGAATTGTGACACTTCTTCCAGATATGACTTTTCTGAAATATTTATCAGATCTTTGAACTTTTTTATTATTATTTTTTTTTTTTTCCAGAAATGTTTACTTTATCAGATCTGTTGAATATTTTCAGAATTTTGTCTTTCCTCTCAATTTGGATATTTCTTCAGAATTTTTTTACTTAAATTAAGGTGGCCGGACATCTCTAAGCGGTTGACCATTCAAAACAGAGCCGGCCAGCTAACCAATCAGAGCAGACTGGGCTCTGGTTTCAGACAGAGGGTGAAAAGAGGCAGTATGAGAACAATAAAGAGCTTTTTGAACATTAAAGCATGGAGACATGTCACAGTAGAGACACTACATACTGATATACACCTGAACTTCAGCAGGAGAGGACTCTTTAAAGTAGAGACACTACATACTGATATACACCTGAACATCAGCAGGAGAGGACTCTTTAAAGTAGAGACACTACCTACTGATATACACCTGAACATCAGCAGGAGAGGACTCTTTAAAGTAGAGACACTACATACTGATATACACCTGAACATCAGCAGGAGAGGACTCTTTAAAGTAGAGACACTACATACTGATATACACCTGAACATCAGCAGGAGAGGACTCTTTAAAGTAGAGACACTACCTACTGATATGAATCTGAACATAACAGATTAGGGCCCTTTAAGTGTTTCTTGTAAACAGTGTACATGTGTTTTTGTTGCAGGAATTTTCTACAAACCCTGAGAAAGTAGAGCGTCCTGCGGAGAAGTAAAACAACGACGAAGAGATTCCAACATACATATTTATTTTTGTCACACGAACAAAAGCACTGATTATACAATTTAAATTACAGAATACATGTTTGTTTAACACTGAGAAAAAGCACTTTAAATAATAAATGACGTTTTTTTCCCCCTTAAATGATACAGATGTAAATGCATGTTTGTTCTGCCTGCAGCACACTCAGGCTTTGTCGCTCATTAAATGCAGCATGAATTTGCAGGAATGTAATTTAAATCCAGTTTATTTTGCTGCTCTGTTTCTGACGTCCCACTGAACTCCAGGAATATTAAGTTATTTAACCCCCCACTGTATGTGTTGATGTTTTTAGGACTGTAACAGACATTTCTATTTAATGCAAGTGCTTTGAATGTACGGAAGCCCTGAGAGGCAAGCAAGAAATAAAACTGGTTATCTAAGTGTGATCTTAAGTGTTTCATTCCTTGTTAGATCTAAAAACAGATGTATTTTCTTTTTGAGTAACAGATGGAGAAAAAAATGCTGGCAAGTTTTTTATTTTTAAATTTTTTCTGAACTATGGATAAACAAACATTTTAGAAAGATTCATTCCCGCATTTATTTATTTTTAACACTTAATTTTCCATTTCCGGTTCTCCTTTAACAGTTTGTTGTAATACTCATTTCAGCCACTACCAGCACTACCCCATGCACTCAAAAAAACATTTGAATTTCTTCTACGGTTTTCAAAGAGGAGAGAAATATTAATTTGATGAAATGTAATTATCCTTGTAAAATTAAATCATTGCTAAAAAATAAACTAATGAGAAAGAAAACATTTAATTTATTCAGGAAATCTTACCAACCCAAAAATCATATTTTCATGGATGAAAAAAGTTTTTAACCCACCTGTTTAACTTATGAAAATAATAACAAATGATGGACTATTGTTTATTTTTATTTCAAAAGACGAGAGAAAACATAAATCAGCAAAAAAAAATATTCTCACTGGCCCTGCAGGGCTTCCGTAGATTCTATGCTTTGACAATAACGAGATGAGATTTTTAAAACACCCACAGTTATTGGAAGAGGATTAGTGATAAATGGAATAATAACAGATTTAAAGACAGAAAAGTTCATGTCTAAACGCAGAGGCGGCCTCATATCTTCCTCAGAGCTTTGGCCTTTTCCACCACGGCCTCCCGCGGCTCGTTTGGGGGGGGGGATCTTCAGGTCGGTGGGCTGCACCCCCCACACCTCGGTGGCGTACTCCTTGATGGTGCGGTCGCTGGAGAACTTCCCCGTGGCCGCGATGTTTCGGATCACCATCTTCGTCCACTCCTTCGGGTTCTGTTACGGACAACAACAAAATTCATAAAAATAATCAATAATACTACATGTAGAAAATAAAATGTTATAATTAAATATAATTTTTAATTAAATTACAATGGTTTTTTTTAATCTTTAGGATTATTTTTCTTCCTGATTGAACATCTTAATCTTGCCATTTTTATTAAGAAAGTATTAAGAATTAAATTACAATTTGTTTGATTTATCTTAATCTTAAATGTGTTGCTTCCTGCTTGATCATTTTAAACTTGTTACTTGTTCTATAGTCCCATATTGTATTGTTTTATGCTTTCTAAAACACAGGTGTGTGTCAGAGGTAAATGTTACCTGGTACAGTTTGCTGACTTTCTCCTGAGCCTTCATGTAGTCCTCAAAGTCTGCAAACACCTTGAACCTGAGGAGAGACACAGAGGGAATATATACATTAAGTCTGAAGTCTAAAAGGGTTCATCACAAGACACTAGGAACTCAGATGAAAGGACATATGAGTGAGTGTTTCTCACCGGTCGTATTTGAAGAGCATGTCGGTGACCTCTTTGAACAGGTCTGGGTTTTTGGGGCAGAAGAATCCGCTGGTGATCTGATCCATCACCTGCTTCAGCTCCGGGATCCTCTTGTAGTACGACATCGCATCGTACCTGAACATAATCATAACATAAGTTAGTATCGATAAAGATATGCACTTCATCCCACATGTGTTCTGCATTGCTTTTAAGAGTGCAAAAATAGCTGCAGTTATAATACCATAAGGTAAAATGCTAGTTTTAATATGTGAAATAAAAAAAATACTATGAATAACAATTAATTAAAAAAAATCAAAGTATTTAAATTGAATAAGGAAGAGTTATTAGGTGCAAAAAGTACTGTTATTAAAATAAATAACAAAAGGTTATAAGATAAATGAGACAAGTGTGCAAAGAAACTGCAATCTTTTTTAAATAAAATTATATTCCTTATTTTTTAAAGTGCAATGACGTAGAGGGTAAGTTTAATATGTGCAAAAAACTACTGTTAAATAAAGAAGAATAGGATAAAAAAAGATACTTAAATTAAAAAAATAATGGTAAAAATGTAAGTATATAAAATGTGCAAACATTTCTTTTGACCATATACAATTATTTTATAAAACCAGTCACCCCTTCTGGTCCATGTCGGCCACGTCCTGCACCCTCATGCCGAAGATGAACAGGTTCGCCTCGCCCGCCTCCTCCGCCATCTCCACGTTGGCTCCGTCCATGGTGCCGATGGTCAGAGCGCCGTTCAGCATGAACTTCATGTTCCCGGTGCCCGACGCCTCGGTGCCCGCCGTGGAGATCTGCTGCGACAGGTCGGTGGCCGGGATCACTGCGGAGGAGGACAGGAAATATTATAATTAAAGTGTTATTGATTAGGTTTGACCTGCAGGAGCTCAATGTCAGACAGAGGGGATTTAGTGTTTCAGATTAAGAAGGAGAAGATACATTCACATTAAGGGATGGTGGGTGATCTTCTCCAAAAACACATCATATAATAAAACAACTTTCTCAAAATGAATATTTTGCTGAAATTCTCTTTACATCCTCGTAGTACTTGTTGAATAAAATGCTTTGTAAAAATAAGTAAAAAAATATGGGATCTATATTTAGTAAGGAAATAAAAGAGTTTATTAATCTTTTTCTTTTAATTGGGGTTTCTTTTAAATGTAAGCCTTCAAATGTGAATTTAGCCCGTGCACGTTTGTGTTTAAGTGTTAGAATAATATAATTAATCATAAGAATAAATGTATGAACTTAATGAAATCATATAGCACAAAAAAGGTTGTAAAATGCTTTTGAGGGATAAAAACGTCAGTTGAAAAAACGAGTTTAAGTCGAATTAACAGATTTTTCCAAGTTTATCTTAATATTTTGGGATCATATTAAATCATACAAATAAATATAAAAATGATTCCACCCCCCCACCAGAGCAGGTGTATTTAAAACCACCCTAGTGCATGTTTTAATGATAATAAAGTTGTGTTTGGTTACCTTTCTCAGCCAGAGACACGCGGTAGTTCTCCAGGAAGATGACCTTCAGCTTGCTCCCCACCACCGGGTCGTTGTTCACGACCTCCGCCACCGACGTGATGAGGCGGATGATCATCTTCGCCATGTGGTACCCGGGGGCCGCCTGCAGGGGAGGAGAGGGAGACACTCACTGTTACTCTGAACCATCACACCTCTGTTTACTTTTCAACATTTGAGGTGCATGCTGGGATACCTTCCCCCCGATGATCACGGTCCGCGGGACAAAGTGGGCATTGGGCTTCATTCTGATGCCTTAAGAGACAGAAACACAACATTTAACAGTGAATATGTAGAAATATAAACTCATTAAAGTGTGACCTCTTTGCAAATATGGCAATGAGTTAGGAATTCAATAATCAATTTAGGATTTTTGTTGCTATATTTCAACACATTTGTCCGATAATCACATGTCTTTTTTTCTACTTAATTGCAGAATATCATTGAGTGTCTCCTGCAGCAGAATAACATTTGATCTACTGTTATAATTAAAAGCCACTTGCAGAAGCAGACCATTTTTATTTAGCTACATCAAGGTTCAAGGTTCTTTATTGTCAAACTAACATAGCTACAGAGAAATTATGTCGTTGAAAATCTTAGGTCACAGGCTTCTCCAACAATGCAACACAATAATACAGATAAGCAGACAACGTTAAAATATACTATATTAAAAAGTAATACAAAAAGAAAAATTGTTTCTTTTTTAAAGTGAGAAAAAAGTGGAATACGAGTCTATATATTAGATGAATCAGGTAGAACAACATATGACAATATTCTTAATTAACGACATAACAATAATCCTTAACTGTACCTTGTGTTGTTTGCCATTAGCACACATTAACATGCTTATCTAAGATGGTAAACATTGCAAACATTATTTGAGCATGTCATCATGTTAGCATGCAAATACTAGCATTTAGCTCAAAGCACCACTGGTAGCAAGACTGTAAACCTTTGTCCTAATGATTTTTATATTCTGTTGTTCTTTTACGCAATGTAGGGACACTGACCTCTTTGTGATGAATGACTGAACTAGCAATAATAGCTTGGAGTATTCCAAGTAAGGAACGTTTTTTGTTGCAAGGAAATTCTGCATTAAAAAACATGCATGTTGCACAGAACAGATTTCCTGTTTGTCACATTCAGATGACTGCACGGAAACTGTACTATTATTATTAATTCAGCATGCTAATGTCGACATGTAGCTTAAGCAAGCAAGACCGTAAACTCTTGTTTGTGATAGATCTGTCCTTATGTTATATTTTGCTGTTCTTTTATGCAACTTATGGACACTGTCTGGCCCTTCTTAATGAATGCACTGTCGAAATGATTAAGGGGAATATCAGGGGCGGTTCTAGGGGGGGCAGTGCCCCCCTAACACTGACCTCTGACCCCCCTGTGGCCCCCCTAAAAATGAAAAGTGAAAAAAGTATGATTTATTACACCATTTATTGAATGACGGAATAGGCGGCACTAACGTTATTCGTCATTCTAGTCGGACCCATTAGAGGGGTGTACTCAGGACCCATTAGAGCGGTGCACTCACTTTCACTGTCCGGCTGAAGCGCGCGAAAAACAAACACTTTTCATCTCGGATCATCAGAGGCTGTTGCATCCAAGAAAGACTGAAACCTACGTTTCGAGAGACTACCACGATAATTGAAGGTGAGTTAAAATATTGTATCCGTGTAATTGTAAATGTAAAGTAGAGATGTAACTGTTCATTGACTTTATTTTTATATAAGTATTATATGGTGTTAGTGCAAAAAAAATTGTACTATAACTTAAGCTGAAGCTAACAGTAATAACTATAAGATATATCTGAAACAAATACCAATAACTGTATTGCATTGTTTTCTTATACGCAATTACTTCATACTGTCTAGTTCTCTTTTTCGTCCTGCATTTATTGTGCCCCCCTCAGAAAATAACTGGCCCCCCAGTCAAATTGGTCTAGAACCGCCACTGGGGAATATTCCCAAGTAAGGAAAGTATTTTGTTGCAGGGAAAGTGAGCAATAAAGTAAATTGCATGTTGCGTAAAAACTGATTTCCTGTTTGTCACAGTGCATGGAAAATTCCCACACTTGATCTAAAGTCAGCTGCATCTCACTCTCTGTTGTGACTTGTTTTAGAGCAGGGGTCAGACTGGGTGTTATTAACGTGTTTCTGCACATACGGTTGTACATGGCGATGATGTGCAGGCAGTTGAGCAGCTGCCGCTTGTACTCGTGGATCCTTTTCACATGGACGTCAAAAATGGAGGACGGGTTGATCTTCACCCGGTACTCCTTCTCCAGGTACTGAGCGAACTTCACCTTGTTGTCCTGAGAGAGAAGCAGAAGTATGTGACTTTGCAGTTGATGACTGATGTGAAACAACTGAATCAGAGTCCTGACACGTACTGACATTAAATCTGCAAGATGTAATGATGAGTGTGATGTCTATGCATGCAATGGTGTGCAGAATGAGACAGCTACAGGAAGGCACTGTTGAAATGCATGTTTCCATGGTGCAACAGGACATTTACAACCAAGCCTGCCCTCTGCGTGTATGGCAACATCATGCAATAAGTAGGCTAACAAAAGAAGAGGAACCACCAAGAGTTATTTCTGCAATCTATCAACACCGTTACACTACTTTCATATCAGAAACAGCTTCTAGATCTATTAATGCACCATCTTTCTTAGGCTTATGTACACAGTACTGAACTGTTCCTTTTGTTGGCACACTTTCTGTACAGTCTGATAAAATAAATACTTTGAATATTGGATGATTGAAACTCTTTGCAATGCAACTAAGAAGTTAAAATGTGGCTCTGAAACTGCCAACAACTCATTTGTAAGCCAACATTTTTTTGGGAGCGACTGGTTTGATCTTTGACAATGATGTTTAGAAATTAACCTATTGTGTGGTTTGGTTATTATTTAAAATCCCTTTGAAATGAGGTTGAATATAGGTATAAAGTAGGTTTTCAATTTAGTGCAGTACTTCAATAAAAGAAGTGCTCAGTTACCTGTTTGACTCTGGAGATGTCCCGGATCAGAGCGGCATCATCAACAAACTCTAAGAGCTTCTTCAGCTGATAGAGGTCCTTCACATAATCCTCCCCAATCACCTGAATACAATTAGACATCACAAAAATAAGTGTTTAATATACTCCACCTCATTTATTACTGTTATTACTACAAAAGACTCGGCAATTCTTTTTCTATATAAAGAGGAATAAATAAAAAAGTATATACAAAATCTATAAAGGAAAAAATAAACAAAATGCAAAAAGGTTATTTCAAGAAAAGTGTGTATTTAAATATATATATATATAAACACTTTAAATATATAAGAAAATAAATGGAAATTATTATAATATTTTGTGATTTCCACATGTATTTTTATACGAGTCTATTATTATTTCTCATATATATATATTTCAAAAATTGTTCAGCACTCGATTCAATCAAAAGACAGGTGCCTCGATGATTTGTATTTATATAAAAGATAAGATAAGTACTTTATTGATCCCAATTTGGGAAATGTTTGTGTTGCAGCAGCATAAAAAGACATGGCATTGTACAATGAAAATTAAAAGAAATAAACAAGAAGTAGAAAATATACATGTTGAATCTTTTGAATGTTTATTTTTCAAACAGACCTCAGCGATGAGCTCGGCCAGCCCGGGGTTGCAGAGCAGAAGCCAGCGGCGCGGCGTGATGCCGTTCGTTTTGTTCTGGAACTTCTGCGGCTCCATTTCACTGAAGTCACGGAAACTGTGGGAGAGAAACGGGAAGGGCGGTTGCTTACTGTGTTTCATCGTTTTGTATAAATAGGGACACTTGCGACTTATTGGAGACCATTTTAAATATCAAAAATGGTGTCCCACAAGTATCTATATTGGGTACCGTCTTATTAAAATGTATATCAATAATTGGTGTGGGGGAAACTTCTGAAGCAATGGGAGTCAGGACTCAGAGACAAGGAGCGCTGGAGCTTTGATGGCAAACACTGACGGTTTATTTGGAGCTTCGGCCGGAGAACTCACAAGACATGTCACGGGCCACGATCTGACCACACGGTTGAGATGCCACAATCAATTCTGAAGAGCCCTCCTGTAGCTCCAGGTTTTAACTAGTTCAGAGTGTAATAATCAACATTCTTCAAAACAGGCTGGTTACTTTAGTTTGAATCTATGTTTCATTACATTTATTAGAGCACTTTTCCGAATGCTCAAAACGCTTTACATTACATATTACACATAGACATGTAACAGTGAATACAGAAAATGTGTCCTGCCCAAGGACACAAAGTTATGGGTACTTTTTACTTCAGTACATTTCGAAGCCCATACTTCTTTACTTGTACTTGAGTAAAGAAGTTTAGTCAGTACTACTTTTTTTTTGGAGTATTTTTAAACATGGGTCTGTACTTGAAAAAAAGAATGTGTTTTCAAGAGTGTGTGTGTCTTACACGTCCGTCTTGATGATGTTGGAGTGTATCTCGGCGACTCCGTTGACGGTGTGCGATCCCACGATGCACAGGTGCGCCATGTTCACCCTCTTACAGCCGTCCTCTTCGATCAGAGACATCTTCCTCAGTTTGTCCATGTTTTCTGGGTACAGGGTGGCAATCCTCTGCAGGAACACACACATTTAAAGTATCACATGTATGTCTCACAGAAGGGTTAAATCTCTCTGTTTGCTGAACCTGTGCATCGAGGTGGATCGATGTGTTTAATGATCTGCAGATGCAAACCATTAAATAAGTGTACGTGTTAAATCTCTGTTTGCATATTTTGTCACATTTAGTCTACTTGATGCATTCATCAAATACGGTGATTTTCCAAATAAAAACCATTTTAACTTGGTTTCCTTTAAAAGCATGCCATTGTTGTGTTTGTTGTGTCCGTACGTCGAGGTGCAGCTGGTTGATGCGGTAGATGATCTGCAGATGTCGGGGCAGCAGCTTCTCCAGCAGCTCCACGGGCCAGCGCTCCAGAGCCTCGGGCAGCACCGTGTGGTTGGTGTAGGCGAAGGTCCGCTGGGTCAGGCTCCATGCCTGCAGAAATCATTTTACACTTATTAAATAATACACCTTAACTTTGCATGTATGGAGTCATAAGAGTGCCGTAAAAAAGGATGACGCAGTTAATACAAATGTGGAAATATCAAGGGGGATACATAACATTTAAATTGAGAAACGCAATAAATAAAATAAACTGTTATTACATGAAATATTTCAAAACAAAAATAGAATTTACTGTTCAAACCATAAAATAATGCATATTTTCTGTGTGAAATAAATAAAGTCTTATAACTCCACATGTTTAATTTAATATTTATATATTTTCACTTTTATCAAATGCACTTATTTATTCCATATTTATTGACTTATCTTTTTAAGATATATTATTTTTTATATTTTTGTTGTCACTCTTACGTCGCCATCTGGAACTGCATGCAAGCCTAAACATTTCCGGCTTTCCTGATTTCTATTTTACATCCCAAATGTTGCATCAACAAACTTCCTTTTCTTGTCTGGATGTTATTTCCTAACCTTCCTGACTTTCCTGACTTTCCACATGAATATGTTATTAAACATTATGCAACACAGGAATAATCATTCTGTCATCATGTCGTTTTAACCTTTTGTGTTATTTGCAGTGATGTCATCCGGTTTCACTTGAGTAACCCTCAACAAAAAATGTAAATCTGACTCACCGTGTCCCAGTCCAGCTTCTCGATGTCCACAAAGATCCTCATGAGCTCAGGGATGGCCATGGCCGGATGAGTGTCGTTCAGCTGGACAGCGACCTGGAAAACACAAAATAATCATAATAACGTTTTTATTTATTTGACCTCCTATAAATGAAGCGTAAAGGAGCTGCTGTGGGACCTTAAATGGTTTCCGTTTCCTGGGGGATACATTCATTTACAGGGTGTTTCCATGTGTAAAATGGGTGTAATAACTGTTTAATTACAGTCTAATAACAGTGTATTATGGGAGTAATATAGGTGTAATCCTGGTGTGATAACGGTGTAATAGGAGTTTATTAATGTGTAATATTGGGGTAGTTACAGTGTAAAATGGCTGTAATGTAGAAAATAGCAATCATTACAGTTTCCAAAATATTGAATGCCCATTTAAGGATTAATATCTGATCTTCCTTTTGAATTAAAGACAAAAATTGCATAAGATGAGCCACACCTTCTCACACCGTTATATCTGCAGAGTTTCTCACACTGAAAAAACGCAATTGCACAACCTTCAGTTCGCCGGTGTGGTGCAGGAGTTGTGTAAATAAATATTTCATCAGTAAGTTTTTTCAACGGTGTGTGGGAGTTTCTTACTTTGTCGGGGAAGCTCTCGAAGGAAGTCCGTCCAGGCGATCCCTTCTTCGTGGTCTTGAAGCGTCGGATGATGTCCTGCAGTGTCGCCGCCACCACAAAATACTCCTGCTTCAGACGCAGCTCCTTCCCTTCAAAGAACTACAAAATATATAAAACACAGACAGAGTTTAGTAGTACCACTTCAACATGTACTGTATTATGCACATTTCTGCAAATACATCAACATATTGAACTCACATTATCATTGGGGTAAAGAACACGGGAGATGTTCTCCGCCAGATTTCTGTCCAGAACCGCCTGGATGTAATCTCCAACATTAACTGCAGACAGGGGAAGACCATTTTAGTTACCTTGACAACAAAAGTGGTGCAGGAATGAGTCCTTATATACACACCTTACATGAGTCAGCACTTTATCACTTCCTGTCCCCTGGTGTGGATGTCAATAGTTTACTGGATGTGTTTTTGGTAAAATACGTCAGTAAATACCCCACTGGTCATTTCAAAAACGTTGGTTGATAACAAGCGTCTAAATGAGACGACTAAACGTCATCACGCCCAACATTAGCTGCCTTAGCTTAGCGGTGGTGACGTGAAGTCATGTGACCGTGCTGTAGTTCCTTTATAGCCCAACGTTAGCCGTCTTTAGCTTAGCGGTGGTGACGTGAAGTCATGTGACCGTGCTGTAGTTCCTTTATAGCCCAACATTAGCCGGCTTTAGCTTAGCGGTGGTGACATGAAGTCATGTGACCGTGTTGTAGTTCCTTTATAGCCCAACGTTAGCCGTCTTTAGCTTAGCGGTGGTGACGTGAAGTCATGTGACCGTGCGGTAGTTCCTTTATAGCCCAACATTAGCCACCTTTAGCTTAGCGGGGAGACATGAAGTCATGTGACCGTGCTGTAGTTCCTTTGTAGCCTAAAGTTAGCTTTTTCTTCAGAAATCATACAGTGGTGTTAATATGTGGACATTATCCTGGTGTACAAAATGTGTAAGTATCACAAATGTTTGTTTGACACCAATCCAAAATCAAATGGAGAGATCCCATTGGACCAGGGAGATGCTGCCTTCAGGTGCTTATAATCCAAAGTGCATTTTAAAGTCTACAGGAGAAGAAAACTGAACCTTTGAGCAACACAGACGTCTCTATGCAACGTGCCTGAGTTGCGGCAGTTTCCTTCTTTCTTGTTGAAATGACTGTTTAGCAAAAGTTGGTTTACATCAGAAATAGTGTAAACCCTGTGCACTCACAGTCCTTGAGGTTGAAGTCGTTGGGCGCCTTTGCGGACCACAGCCTCATGGTGTTCACCGTGTTGTTCATGTACCCGGGGATGGGCGTGTCGTACGGCATCGCCAGAACCACCTGCACAAACACAGGCAGGAAATAAAGTCTCTGTAATCTCACCCAGAGGCATGGGTAGGGAAGATGGAAGAGAGGAGACATGCTTTAAGACATCCTGATTTATATTCATAATACAACTATAAAATTACGTTGTAATGTTGACATAAAGTAGTATAAATAAATAGATTTGTCCATTTAATTTAAATAGCCAAAAGTAACTCCGACATAGAAATGACAAATATAATCATTTTCAGTTTTTACTTTGTAGACGTTGGAGTCTCTTTGTAGTCATCTTTTATCCCTTCGTGATCATATTAAGTCCTTTAGTCATTTTGTATGATTTGTTTGGTTATTTGCTTCACTCTAAAGATGCTTTTGCGTCTCTTTTTAGTCCTTTTATCTCTGTTTGTGGTTGTTTTGCGTTTCTTTGTGGTCATATTGTGTCTTTGAGATGGTTTGAAGTCTCTTAAAAATTGTTCTGCATCTGTGATCTGTTATCTTTTTGTATCATTCATTCGTAGTTTGGCGACTTCTCATAGGCGTTCACTTTATGTCTGTTTGTGGTCGTTTTGTGTCACTCTGTAGACCAGGTGTCAAACTCAAATACACAGTGGGCCAACATTATAAAATGGGTACTAATCGAGGGCCGGACTGGTTCAATGTTTATTGCAGAACTTATTGAAATGAACTTATTGCACATATTAAACCTGGAAAGCTTAAATAATTGCCTATAAAAACATTAAAATATTAAATAATCAGTTGCATTCATTTCTTATGGCTCTATCTGCAGCTTTTCCAGAGTCATTTCTTATGATTACATTTCCCCACAGGCCAACAACAGCTTCAACAAAACTATTCCCCTCAAAGAGAAAACCAAACATGCCCTGTTGTCTCAAGAAACAAAGTGCAGAAGGAAACGTGTAAACTCAGTGTGCTGCTCTGTGATGCTAGTTCAGATACTTGGCATCTCATCTTGGGTGCAAGGTCATCAATGTTTGGGCTCAGGCTCTGAGCTGAGGAGACCCTCAGGATGGAGTGAAGGTGTGCGTGCAATATACCGGCGGGCCAGATCTAATAGTAATTACAAATTATCCTGCGGGCCGAAATTAAATCCACCAAGGGCCTGATTTGGCCCCCGGGCCTTGAGTTTGACACATGTGCTGTAGACAATTAACATCTCCCTAAAATCATTATGCAACATCATTTTGAGAAGCTTTGTAGTTGGTCCCTTTGATGATATTTTGTGTCTCTATTTTGCTGTTTTACATCTTGTTCTTATCCTTCTGTATCGTATTGTTTTGCCCCGTCACATGGTCATTGCGAGTCTCAAAGTAATTCCTTTATGGATTATATTTTGCTGTTGTTGTTTTGCGTCTGAGTACCTGAGTGTCGACCCATTTGGACCCGTCTTTGGTCTCTTCCACGTGTCCGTAGTAGTGGACGGGCAGCATGTACTCGGGGCGGGCTTTCTCCCAGGGGTTCCCGTGCCTCAGCCAATCATCGGCCTCCTCCACCTGCACAGGTCACACAGGGCAAAGGTAAACAGCTGTTATACGATAAAACGTCCAGAGAGAGAGAAGTGTTGAGCAAGACACAAGCACTTATCTGACCTCTGACACAAACACACAGCACCTGTGATTTATCAAGTACATTTGATGTTATGAGGTCCATATGCAGAATAAAATGCACCAAATTTCTTGTCTCTTTTTATTGGATTGATGTCTCTTTGTAGTAACTTTCCAATTGTGGCTGATTTACTCTTTTTAGTCAATGTATGTCTCCTTAAAACCTCTTTCTAGTTGTGTTATGTCTATTTTAGTTATTCAATGTCTCTTCATAGTTGATTTGTGTCTCTTTTGTCGTTTTATGTAACTTTATAGTTAATTATGTCTCTTTAAAGTTAATTTATGTCTCTTTCGGTCATTTTATATCCCTTTGTATTTGTATTTATTTATAGAAGGACCATGCATACAAAAACATTAATCTCAGCAATGAGAAGGGATGCAATATGCCAGATTATAGCTAATAGCTAATTTCCATCTGTGGTCCTCAGGTAGGTTCATAACAATCAATAAACAAATAATAACATTGCATGATCTCTATCAGTCAAACTATTTTAAAACCTGATTTAAGTACAGCTCAATAAATGAATACATAGTACACTTGAAATACACTTACATGATCTCGGTCACTCAAATAATTATAAAGCCTGATTTAAATACAGGTTACGAACATAATACTTAGTACACTTCAAATACACTTAAATAAAATATCTAAGTAGTAGTTATTTTATGTCTATTTTTAAATGATTTACCTTTCTAGTAATTGTATGTCTGATTATGGTTATTTGTCGCTTTGTAGTCTTTTTCTATCTTCATGTCTAGCTTCTCTCTTTGGGGTGGTTTGTGCCCATATTCACGTGTCCTCTGAAAAGCTTTATTATGACATAACATATTGGACTTCAGAGAGAAAGAAGAAGAATTGAGCAAGACCCTAAAACGTATCTGACCTCTGCACACAGCACTTTGAAGTCACAAAAATGTTTCAGTTCTGTGATTTATCAAGTTATTATAATGCTATGAGATCAATAATTAGATCAGATACAATTAAAGCACCCACTTACTTTCTACTTTTACTCTCCACTAGCAGCAGGATTTAACGTGTAAATTCATCCTCTGGTGAGAAAACACCGAGTTTAAAATCTAGTTCATGGTGCGTGTTTACTCTGTGGGATGAACAGCAAACAGCCAGCAGGATTAAAAAGGGCAAAGGCCTTTAGTTTGAGAATCTCTTATCATAAAATACACAATATTTATTTTGTTTTCTTCATCTAAAACCGCAGCAGTCTGTGGAGGACGTTAATGATTATCTTTCATGTGATGTAATTCATTTCTACTTTGGCCTCGAGCCACTCCGACTCCTGCAGCAAGAGCGGTTTCACAGTCAGAGATAAGAAAGGGTTGAATCTGGTTATTTCAGGTCACTGAGTTCATAAAGAATGTGTTTTAAAAAAGGTAAAAAAAAAAACAGGTAATTTAGAGCTGATAATGTTTGGAAAAATAAAGTAAGGCAGACATATAAGAGAAGGATAATTTCAATGTTGTGTTGCAAGAATAGTATCAATTTGATCTTTTATGCTGGGAGTTTGATTTACTCCCAACGTTTTGACGTCATTTCTGAAAAAAGTGAGAATACTTTAGATATTTTCTTCTTATGTCAATGAGACATGCACTAACGCACATTTATCAAAGTTATTGAAGCGACTGTTATTTTAAATTGATTGTTGTGATTGTATTTATGTCTTAATGTGTGCATATGTACAAATGTGTCTGTTGATTGTGTGTGTGTATATATTTTTTTTAATATATATATCTTTGTTATTGTATTCGGGATTGTGGGAAACGGTATTTCGGTTTCTGTACACACAAACTGAAAGATTGACAATAAAGTTGACTTTGAAATGTAAAAAATAAAGTCAAACGTTCAGTATATGCCCTATACTGTATGCCACACTAGTAGTTAGATTTATTCCCAAAACGTTGACTCTATTCTCATCTGCTTCATTCATTAAAAGAATGCAATAGATACAAAAATTATAAAGACCATATACTGAAATGATCCTCAACTTGCATAAGAATAAAAAATCTTCTTCCTAAAGTGAGCATTATGTTTCTGTACCTTTCTTATTCTGTCATTGTATATTTTGTACTTTTAATGCTCAATAAAATATCCATCCATCTTATCCGTGGTCGGGTCGCGGAGGTAGCAGTTCCAGCAGAGAACCCCAAACTTTCCTTTCCCGCACGCCGTCCACACGGCGGTGTGCGTTGAAGCTTGCCGGCGGGAGTGTCTGAAGCTCGAACAACAACCAATCCCATGAATCTCCCCCCCAGTTCGGCAAAGCGTGACGTCACCCCATTCAAAGTGAATGGGCAGAAGCGTTGAAGCTTCAACGCACGCCGCCGTGTGGACAGGCTAAGGGAGACGCCAGCCACCCTGCGGAGAAAACCCATCTCGGCCGCTTGTATCCGCGATCTCGTTCTTTCGGTCATGACCCATCCTTCATGACCATAGGTGAGGGTAGGAACGAAAATGGCCCGGTAGACAGAGAGCTTTGCCTTCTGGCTCAGCTCTCTTCAATAAAATATATTAAAAATAATTAAAATAATTTCACAGTGCTTCACTGAAGAGACTAAACTGGGCTCATTTGAATTATTTTGAATGTAATGAAATCTGAACAATTGTTTTACCGCAAAAGGACTGTAGCTAACTGAGTGTTGTAGTTTTTGCATATAACTGAAGTGCAGCACTGTTAACTATTTACAGCCTTCATGTCTTTGTCGATGTCATTGTTTGTATCCAGGCTTTTGATGCACTTTTCTCTCATCCTTTATTTTAGTGTCAGAAATTTATGAATGTGTTAATTTAAGTGAAATTGTAATGTCTTCCTCTTTGATGCCATAAGAAATGTTGTGATTAGTAAAGACCAGTTGCGATCATCCTGCAGTGATCTTAAGCTCTTCAGCAGTTACTGTTTCTCTGCAGTTACCTGCCAGCCGTCCTTGATCTTCTGGTTGAAGATGCCGTACTCGTACCGGATACCGTAACCGTACGCTGCGAGCCCCAAAGTGGCCATGGAGTCCAGGAAACACGCTGTGGAGAAACGACTTCATAAGTATACATAAAGAATAAAGAACACACAATGGCAGTTAACTGATTGAGTAATGCTCCTCTACACATTCTGTTGCAACATGTCTGCGGCTGCTTTAAACGTGCAGAGGATTTTAAAGGACGAGTGCAAAATATTTGTTTGTATTTGATTAGATTTATTTCAAATGTGTAAAACAATAATACAAACATTTAACATGAGAATTATTATACAATACAAAAACTACAAATTGATATTCAAAAATATTACAGATTCTAAATTATATATATATATATATATATATATATATATAAATGATTGATGATACATTTAGAAGTTATACAAGAGTGTTGTTGCACCACAGGTAACATGTTTAAAAGTAGTAGGACACTTTAATATTGTAATACAAGAATTACAAGATATTTTAAGTATTTAATTATTTAGTTAGTATTATTAGTTTTTATTTTGCAATATTTCACATGTGTCTGTAAAACACTTTGAATTGCCTTGTTGTGGTAAATGTTCTCAGCAGAAAGGCCTAATTCTCAAAAGTTGTATGCCTGACTGTTTGAGTTTGAATGGCCTTATTGTTCAAAACAAATAAACTTGACTTTCTTTGTCTTTTCATTGAACTGTTTCAGAGGAGTTGAGATCAAATAAAATGTTAGTTTAATTACCTGCGAGTCGGCCCAGGCCTCCGTTCCCCAGCCCTGCGTCCTCCTCCATCTCCTCCAGCTCCTCCATGTCCAGCCCCAGCTGCAGGGACAGAAAAACAACTTTTAAAACGTTTATGCAAAAACAGGTAGTCATGGAGAGCAGCAGAGTCATGATGCATATTTTAAAGGTCACCTATTGTGCAAGATCCACTTCTTCATGTCTCTTCTACATCAACATGTGTCCCCTCTGTGGAAAGAGACTCTGAAAGTTTCAGGAACAAAGATTCTCTCTTTTTGTCCTGATCCATTTCTATAAAAACCTGTCTGAAAATGAGCTGATCAGATTTTGACCACTTTATGATGTCATAACGATTTGTTTGGCTTGAGTAACCATTAGCCAATCATCAACCAAGGTAACCCCCCCCCCCCCTCCACACCTTATCATCTGAATCTCCTCCTAGAGCACCATTAGACGTGTTCACACCGCAGTACTTTTCCCACTCAGATATAGTTCCGAAATGTTGCATTCACACCAAAAAGAGCCGGAACTAAAATTAGTTCATCAGAACCTTTTTCACCCCCTTTTCCGTCCCTGCTAGAGAGCAGGGACTTTCGTGGGAGAAAAAGGTTCCTGTGTCTGATTGGCTGGGCGGAATGCAAACCACGCCCCGTAAAACTCCCAAAAAGTTTTGTGAAGCCGCCATTTTATTATCCTCCCATTAGCATTAGCCCAGCGCACAAACGCAGAGACTAACTTATGGCAACACAAAATAAAACATGGGAGCGGTGGAGATGAGGAGGTGTCGACGTGAATAGTGAAGCCAGTCCCCAACTCCGGGGACTTCCGGCCGGGGACTTTGGGCGGCAGTATACGCCGTGAAGTTGTTTGCGGCCTGCCAGTAAACCCAAAGCAGAAGAAGAAGTGACGTCAGCGGCTTAATTTGCCTAATCCTCCCCCAGGGACTTATTCCGGTGTGAACGCGATCTGTACTTAGTTCATGAGAACTAAAGAGTTCTCATGAACTAAGTTCTGATTAACCTTTGTGGGAAAAGTACTCCGGTGTGAATGCGCCTATTGAGTTCTTTTTAACCAAATATCTCTCAGAGGGGCATGGCTCCTTATTTTCATCTAAAGTAACAGACAGAGAATCAGCACTTTTGAAACGGGGCTGAAACAGAGGGGATTATGGGATGCTGCAATGATCTGCTTGGTGCTTCAGCCAAACAGTTCAGAGACATGTTTTGTATATACAAAAAAAAAAACAGTATAATAGGGGACCTTTAAAGTGTGTGTTTGTGGCTGTTTTGGTGTACTCTGACCTGGTAGATGGCCTCGTCGCAGGCGTTCTGCAGCCCAAGGTTGATCATGGTGTTCTGCAGCGTCCGGCCCATGTAGAACTCCAGAGACAGGTAATACACCCTCTGCTCAAACAAAACACATCATGTTACCATGCATGCACATACCAAAAATAAGTTAGGTTGCAGGGAAATACAGTGGGAGTGTTGCAGCAAAACTGGAACAAGGAAGCAAACATTTTCCTGATTGTGTAAACAGGAAGCAATGACCTGGAAACTCTTCAACAGCAGGAAACATTGCACAAGATGGCGTCCATCCATAATAATGTGTTTGAATAAACATGCAGAAGAAAATGCTCTTTGCTATGAATACATTCCAAAACAAACACAAACAATGATGCCGGGAGACTTTTTAGATGCAAGTGAGAAGAAAAATATTTAGTTTGTACTTCTTTTCAAAGACACTTTATGTCTCTGGATACTCGTTTCTTTACAGTCATTTGATGTCTCTCTGCAGAGGTGTTGCAGCTATCTTTGGCTGTTTTGAATCTCTGTTTGAATTGCATCTATGCGTCATGTCTCTTCGTAGTCATACTTCATCATAACTTACTTAATAACTGTAACATGTGTCATAGAATATATTCAAGTGTCATGTACAAAATCTGTGTAGTTCGTGAGTTTTTTTGAAATTGTGAAACTGATTTCACAATTTCAGATGTCAAAACCATGTCAAAAACATTTGTCTTTGATTGAGGTAAAGATGGAACATTTAATTTAGGCTAAACATCTACAAATATCAAAATCAACCAGTGCATGTTCTGCCTGACTTCTGTCCTTAATCGCACCCTTTGATGTGACACACCTACAACAGACTTTATGAGGATTTTCTGTCTTAAACATGTTAAAAACACATTTTAGACTACTGTTATCTGTGTTTTGGAGTCAGTCAATCACTCAATCAATCAATCATGTCAGTGATTAACACAAATGAGAGCCTTGTTTCAGGGTTGTGCAATTTGAGGTGTCTCAAACATTAAAACCATGTCTTTTTGGTGGTTTTGCATCTCTGGGTCCATTTAAATGTCTCTTTGTGGTCGTGGTGAATCGTTACATGGAACATTTGTTTTTAAATTATAAGAATACAAAACACTTCTCTCTGTTTGATCAAATATTTTAACAGGAGACACCTCCATGACATTTAAGGGTCTCAAACATATACAAAACATACTCTTGTTTGTTTTAGTTCAGTTCTATGTCTTGTTCTGATCACTTTTTGGTCGTTTTTTCTACTACATTTAAATGTATATTTGTGGTCGATGTGAATCGCAAGATACAAAATGAGTTGTTCTTATAACAAAAATACGAAATCTTGTAATAGGACACACCTACATGACAGCCTAGTCTCAGGATTTCACACTTTCAAGGGTCTCCAAGCTGTTAAAAACATACTTTTTTTGCAGCTTGGGAATCCTACTCTGATGCGTAAGTGGACTTTATATCCCCAGTTTTACCTTGGGGTCGGCCTCGTAGTAGAACTGCTGGGTCCGGATCCAGCGGCCCACCAGGTGATCCCTGACGGTGTGGGCCAGGGCGAAGTAGTAGTCCCGGGGAGTAGCGATGTTCCTGTCCTTCACCAGGGTGAAATGCAGGTGTCTGTTGAAGCCCTTCTTCAGCTCCGCCACATTCTCCACTCCCACGATGCCCCTGATGCTGATCTGCTTCCTCTTCTCCTGGTCTGTGAGCGGGGTGGCCATGCTGAGGCTAGGGTGTGGGGGGGGAGCAGCAGGTGTGTGCTGGGAGGCTCTGCAGAGTGAAGTGCAGAGAGAAGGTAACATGGTGGAGGTTTTTACAGCTGGAGGCTCCACCTGCTGCTGCTGCTGATTGGTGGCTGCAGGGGGAGGGGTTTCCTCCGCAACACACACACTGCACGATCACAACAGGAAGAGAAAGTGTGTGCAGAGTTTCAGATGTGCAAACAATAAGGTGCTTTTATTCAAGATCTGTTCTTAGGTTTAGTACATTAAAGGTGATAATAGAGTTGTTGCACTACAAATAAAGTGTGTGCATGTAAAACATACTCAGTTTAAAGCTTATAAATCAAAGCTGAACACGTTTCTGTTTCTGGTGTCTTTTAAATCTAAATATTATTAATATTACTTTATACAGAATACAGAACAGTGTTTTCTACTTCTTCTATTCCATTTAAACTTGCTTTTTCTATTCTCTTTACTCTTCAAAGAGGCCCTTGTTCTGCTTGTTGTGGTGTTCCCTCCTGTGGTTTGTTCCATAGGTTTTACTGCATCATGGTCTGCAAACGCTAAAACACGCTAACATGTTGCGTTTAAATATGCTTACGAGGCATTATGTAATGCTAACTGTTGGTGAATTCAGGAGAACAAAAAGCCAAAGTTAGCAAAACATGACCTTAAATGACACTTCACCTCTTATAAATCTGGAATGCATTGCCCAAGAGTAAAAACACAGAGTAGGATACGCATGTTAGAATAATAGGATGCCAGCCTCCAAAACAAACACAAACAGCGGATATCATTTGAAATGCTATGTCCGTGAGAAATATATTTTGTTTGTATTTATTTTCTATTTGCTGTCTTTTTGCAGGATTTTAGAAAAGTTGTACCTTGACATTTCTGTTTTAGGTCAATCTTAAGACAGAACATATGTAAAAAGTGCAGGTTTTTATAAAAACTAAAATAATAATAAATTTCATTTATAATTCAATTCAATTCAAAACCTTTATTTATACAGATAAAACCCATTGAGATCATAGACCTCTTTTACAATGGTGACCTGCTTCAATTAGTTCCAAACATTAATACAAACATGACAGAAAACAAAGGACATTATATGATACTACAGTTTGTATACTAGTAGCATTATATAATGTCCTTTGTTTTCTGTCATAATAATAACAAACCAGGCAGATTTCTCTTTTCACCCTCTGTCTGAAACCAGAGCCCAGTCTGCTCCGATTGGTTAGCTGGCCGGCTCCGTTGTGATTGGTCAACCGCTTAGAGATGTCCCGCCCCTTAGCCTATCATGTACAATGTGTTGGAGCACTAGCCAATAGGAGCACAAGTGTATAGTTATGTCATTATGTTCCAGAAGTTAAAACAAATAGGGCCTCTTTAAAAGGAGATCACTTTAAATATATACTTTGGTTCACTGCTATAAGACAATGAAATATAAAAACATTAAAACAGACAAATATATATAAAAAATATTCCAGGCAACATCAAACTTCGTCGACACCTATTTATTGAATATTCACACATACAAAAGAACACAGCGGCTCATTTTACACTTCATCATCATCATCATCATCATCATCATCATAATAGCAGTAATGATAGACATATAATCATAATAATCATACTGTGTTCAAATCAAATAATGTTTTTAACATTTTATATTCATAATACTCTCTGTAGACATATTCCTGTATCACTGTAAATTACAAATATCCAGTGATCACATTCCACCTTGCATCAAACAGCAAAAATAATCAATTAAATGAGGTTATAATGCAACACACACATTCACATTCTCTCTCACACACGTACATTTGGATATATAACACCCAGTGTCGCCCAGCGACTGTGTGCACGTTTTTTAATAATTCATAAAAGTTTGAAGTTTAAATAATCCCCAGGTCTATGTTTAATATCTTTGAAGTGTTTTTGGCTGCTTTGGAATAATAAACGTTACAATCACACACCTTTTAAACATCAGTGCCCTCTTATGTTCAGAACAGGAACACACATTTATGTTATTTTTCAGTCAAAAATATAACTAGTTCACACAGAAAATGTTCCAGGAGAAGATCATTTGTGTTAATAATCATATGAATCCCTTTAATTATCTGAATTAAAGCCAATGTGTTTGTTATTCCTGGATTCTAAGGTTGTGTAATGTTGTGATAATGGCTGCTTTTGTATTTACGTTATATTTACGTCCGGAGAAAAGGCCCTGCCTACGATGCATAAATCAAGGCTTAAAAGGCCGTGCAGCTTTCTGAGCACTGCAGTTTGCACACATGCACGTATACTGAAAATGATATATTCTGCTTTACAATCAATATTTATCCTGGGGGAGATAAAATAAAAATGCTAGAGGATTTATAAAGTTAAGAAAGACACCTGACTGGGGATATTATGTCCATAACAAACACGGTTATTTGCTCCTCAATGCCGATAGAAAAATAGCAGCAGGTGAAGTCAGGCATCACAGATGTTACAGTTCCTCTGCTGAAGCAATGATTTATTTATTAGCAAAGTTTTCATAAATCTTTTGAGTATTGAAGAGGGGGAAAGGCACGCCCATGAAGCTTAAACACAGGAAAGCATTTTAATGTGTATGCTGGACATGTTCAGGAAGAGGATGTACCGGGGAATCTGTTACCTCAACCTGACCTCGGGACATTTTGAATTCAGGTCCCCACATTCATGCAGAATTATCTCAACAACTATTGGATGGATTCCTAAGACATTTAGCACAGATATTCATGGTTCCCAGAGGATGAGTCCTACAGACTTTTCTCATTGCTCTGTATTTTCCATTAGCAGCAACTGCAGGCAGCACTGCTAGATAACGAAGAAATAGGCGTAATAGTGTTTTGTTTAACCACCTACAAATCAACCCACTTAGAGGATATGATAGAGCACATGTGTCAAACTCAAGGCCCGGGGGCCAAATCAGGCCCTTGGTGGATTTAATTTCGGCCTGCAGGATCATTTCTAATTACTATTAGATCTGGCCCGCCGGTATATTGCACGCACACCTTCACTCAATCCTGAGGGTTTCCTCAGCTCAGAGCCTGAGCCCAAACATTGATGACCTTGCACCCAAGATGAGATGCCAAGTATCTGCTTGAGCTAGCATCACAGAGCAGCACACTGAGTTTACATGGATGTTTCCTTCTGCACTTTCTCTCTCACGACAACAGGGCATGTTTGTTTTTCTCTTTGAGGGGAATAGTTTTGTTGAAGCTGTTGTTGGCCTGTGGGAAAATGTAATCATAAGAAATGACTCCGGAAAAGCTGCAGATAGAGCCATAAGAAATGAATGAAACTGATTTTGTAATGTTTAATGTTGTTTATATAGGCAATACTTTAACTATTTGTTAGTTCCAGGTTTAATATGTGTAATGAATTCATTCAATAAACATTGAACCAGTCCGACCCTCGACTAGTACCGATTTTTTAATCGGTATTTGAGTTTGACAGCCCTGGGATAGGGGACATGAGAAAAAATTACGAAAACACAGACGTAGGATCATTATTTTTCCCTCTGTTATTTAATTTAAATGAGACATACAGTAGAAGATTAGATAATCTGCCAATTCAAGTGTCACATAATGGTTAAATTATCATACATTTTGGCACTTTTTGCATTATTGAAAAGTACAAATACCATAAATATCTGGCAAAGATGTCCCTTGTTCTGTTAAACATCTCAAAATGTACTTGTTTAGTTGGCACCAAATGTTGTTCATGACACCCAGAGGTCAGGTCCGCACTACAAGTCTAACCACAGGGTGTTCAAAGATAATTCCAATTGAAGTTACGAGAGCCACACTTTTGGCAACAGCTGGCTAGAAAGATAACATTCCCTAGCTAGTATAGCTTCCTGTATTTGTGCTAAGCATGACTTTGCATTGCTCCATATTGTTTCCTGTTGCGGAGGCTGTTGCCCAAAACAACGTCCAGTACATCGTTCCCTTTCCTGTTTGCTTCAGCGGGACATAATCAGTTTGAGAACAAATTACAAACCACATTTTTTAAAGCGACAACATTAAGATTCTTCCCTTTCTGTAATAACTGTACATTAAATAAAGGAACAATGATAAATTCTCATTGAAAAAACTCTGAACATCAATAACTTATTTAGCTATAAACCTCTCTGCGTTTCAGTAACAGTATTACAAAACTACCAGGATTTAGTCACCTACAGTAAAAAAAAGCAGAATGTAGCGCGGCGCTGTAGCACCTTATTGAAAGAGCTTCATCATCATTTACAACACACTTTAATGCACACACCTGCCCGCTCTCATGATCATTACACCAACAAAATCCCTCCTGTAGTTCATTACAGACGATACAGAAGCCAAGCCACTAAGAGAAGCGCCTCGTGTGCACGGATGCGGATATGACTGTGATGCGGATCTCCCAGGGATCATTGCAGCAATACACCAAAGTTAATAAATGCTCCAACCAGCAACTCTAAAACTTTAAAGTATTTTAGAAAAATCCAAAGCTACCATATTTACTGCCAACTGTAACTTCATATTTAAAGTACAGGCTTAATGATTAAAATATCATATATTGTGATATTTGATTAAAAGCTTAGGCCATTGCTGTTTTTTTTAGCTTTTCTTATTTGGATTATTTGCTGCTTTTATTAAACTGAATATCTTTGAATATTTATCTACTTGGACTCTGGAACCTGGGATGCACATTTGTTAATATTTTCTGAAGCAATCTGGAAAATAATCTGAAGGGTAATATATAATGAAAAGAGTCGCAACCCAATCAGATGTCAATATTCTCATCTAACACTTGGCAAGAAAGCAAATAGGAGCAATGTTCAACATATCTTATATTGCTTTAAAGGTCACCTATTATGCAAAATCCACTTTCTCATGTCTCTTCTACATCAACATGTGTCCCCTCTTCTTCACGTCTCTTCTACATCAACATGTGTCCCCTCTTCTTCATGTCTCTTCTACATCAACATGTGTCCCCTCTTCTTCACGTCTCTTCTACATCAACATGTGTCCCCTCTTCTTCACGTCTCTTCTACATCAACA